GGTGCAAGATTCTATGAAGAAAAAGAAGCTTGGTCATCATAAGATTAAGGGCCCGTTTGATAAGTGTGAAGTTTGAAGTGTGAATTCTGAAATTTGAAAAGTAAGTACTGAAAGTATTAAATTATTGAATGAATTAAATTACATCCGTTTGATAATTAACTGAATCATAATGCTGAATTGAAATATCACAAAAATATACGTATTTTGTCTTTAAAAAAATTGCCTTGATTTATGTATTTATAAAGAAAGAAAAGTTTATATGTGAGAGAGAGCCAGAAAATAATGAAATAATTTAGAAATGGTGTTTAAGTGTATGTATCTGTGCATGAGAGGTGCATATTTGCATGCGTGTGTGTGTGTGTGTGAATAGAAAGCGAACACATGTATACTTTGTGCAAAAGCACGTATGGTAGAGTGCTATATGTATGAAAGTTATAGTACGTGTCATCAATTCAGAAAATTTAGTGAAATTTTTTCATTTAAAAGTTTGTATACAAATTAAGCTGTGCTTAATATATTAACGGATAAGGCATTTCCGTTGTCAAACACGCTGAATTCAAAAAATTTCTAAATGAATTAATTATTTGCGTTAAATTCAGTTCCCCTCCTAATTTTTATTTTCTTTTTTGTGTTAATAAAATGAAATAAATTATTTGCTTAGAAAATAGTGATAATTGCAACTAAGAAAGAAATGAAAAATTTGCTTGAAAAGTAACTCTAGAACAACGAGGCAGTAGATGGGGGAAGCTAGGGATGGGAAATGAAAGGGATTTGAATTTGAATCAATCAACGAGTGTTTATATCTCCCGTTTTCTAATGAAGGGTGACAGGAGCGACGAGTGATGGAGTTAGTGGGGTATTGACGCTGTGGTTATCAGGGAACAGGGCGGGTACAAGATAAGAGAGGCCACAGATGTGAAATTTGGATTAATTGAATGACTCTCCAAAAGTTGGTAGATGTTAGCATCGTAGCAGCTGGAAAGTGACCATACGTTGCCAAAGTGGTCTGCAAATCTCGAACTAGCAGTACGTGTGATGCTACATTTTTCGTGTTCACAAAACTACTGATATAATTTTCCACCGTCCCATAAAGATAGGTTTATTTTTTTCACACAAATTAAGAAATTTAGTTAATATAATTGCAACAATTATTCTTTGTTGATACTTTACTCAAATATCCCTTGTTAATATTAGATCATTCATTCAAAGTTAGAGGTACATATTACTATATTGCTCCTGAAACTTAGAGTACTTTGGTTTCTCAATGCAAGAGTCAATTTAGTTAATGTTACATATTTGACTGAAATGAACAACAAAATTAAAATTGCTAAACAAATCAAACTTTTCAATTTGGAGTCAATAGAAGGTAACTAACATATTCAAAAATTTATAATAATTATGTACATTAAATATGGACATGTTGGTAACTACTCTTTAAAAAAGGAAATAAATCTATAATTTGGGACAAACACAATAAGAAAATAAGCCTATCTTCATGGAGGGGGTATGTAATTTGCAACGAAAGTCCCTTGGCTTGGTGGGCTGCTTCAGCTACTAGTTTTCTAGTGCCGTTTCACATTAACCCGTACCACCACCTCCGCTGAGGTTATTTGTCCACAAAATATCTGTGATGCTCGTATGAATTAGATGTTGTTGGAGACATTTTTTAAAATTTTACTATAATAGTGTATGTGAGAAATTTGACATTTTAAATGTATTGGGGGATGTTTTTAAAATTTAAAATTTATTAAAGAACCACCCATCACCCTATGCCACTGCCACCACCTCTCTCTCCTCCACCTCTTTCTCCTCTCCTCCCTCTAGCTTCCTCCTCCCTCCTCTCCCCTCCCCTCCTCCCTCCTTCTCCCTTCTCACCTCCCTTCCCTTCCCCCGCATCTTCCTCCTCTCCCCTCCCCCGGTAATTGGTTGCAACCGGCGATCTAGTTGCAGGTTGGGCCAGGGGAGAGGGGAGGGTAAGAGGGAGGAGGGAAATGGGAGAGGAGAAAGGACGGGGAGGAGGGGTGAGGGTGGTGGTGGCAGTGGAGAATGGAGGTGTGGCGGCAGTGGCGGAGGGCGATGAGTAGTGGTGGTAGATAGTGTGTGGAAGAATAAAGATGGGAGTTTTTTAAATTTAATTTTTTGCATTATTTTTAGGTGTATTTTTATAGTTATTTTCAGAGTTTTATTTTTAATGTAGACTCCGCGAAAAAAAAATAGTTTTTGAGAAAAAGAGAAAAACCCCACAAAAAAAAAAAAAAAAAAAAAGAGATGATGGTCTAAGATCGGACCTATCTGAAAGTGGAAGGTTAAAGAGTAAAGAGCTCATGGTCATTTGTCACGTGCTTGTGAATGAGATGGAATAATGCAAAGCTCAGCCAAGTCTGTGAGCAGTGAAGGAGAAAAGCAAAGGAAGATGATAGATCTCAACCAACTTTCCGGCAAATGAAATCAAACAATTGATAAAATGAGAAGGACGAAAGAGTGGATCGGCTAACCAAAGGCAGTTGACAAGAAGATGTTTTTCTCAACCTAAAATGGGTATCAAGCCAGACTTAAATTCATGCAATGAATACAAAGATCAGGAGCCAGTTAGGATAACGCACATCAACTCTACAAAAAAAAAATTGCAAGTTTAGTTGCAGTCTTAAATTCAAATCAATCTCATCAAGTTTGCTTCGGATTCTTTTAGTTCTTGTCAATCAACTTCAACCCAATTTCCATTAGTCAATTTTATTTAGATCATATTTACATATATACCAGGTATTTCTAGATTATGAAACCCTTTATTGTTATTTTGTCTTGTTTCTTAGGAATTTGTATTGATCTCCATTATTTTTCTTCGCCATCGGGCCAATGAACCCACTTCATCTTTAACAACAGGAAGACCACTGAACCTAAATCATTGAAAGAAAAGAAATCGGGGAACAGGGTGGGTATGAGAGATGCCACAGATGTGGTGGAGGAGGAGTTCGACAGCTTTTTTTTCTTTTTTTCTTCTGTTTTTTTTTTTTTTGGGATAAATTTGGATCAATCAATTGAATGACTCTCGAAATGTTAACAGATATTAGTATCGTGGCAACTGGAAAAGTAACCATGTTGCCTAAGAACAAGTGGTCTGCAAGTCTGGAACTTGCAGCATCTGCGATGCTACATTTTTCCACGTTCACAAATCTACATGTTAAAAACTAATATATGTAATTTGCAACAAAAGTCCCTTAACTTGGTGGCCTGGTTCAGCCACTAATTTTCTACTGCCGCTTCACATTACCATCCGCCACCGTCACCGCCACTGCCTCCGGTGAGGTTATTTGTCCGCAAAATATCTCTGATGCTCGATATGAATTAGATGTTTTTGGAAATATTTTTTAAAAAAAAATTTATTATAACAGTGTATGTGAAAAACTTGACAATGCAAACGTATTTGGCGGTGTTTTTAAGGTTTAAAATTTTATTGGAATTTTTTTTAAAAAAAAATTGTTGAAAAAACTTACCACAACCATCCACCACCACCACCCATCACCCTCCGCCACCGCCACCACCCTTCCCTCCTCCAACGCTGCCACTACCCTTCCCTCCTCCCTCCACCGCTGCCACCCTTTTGCTATAATATTTTGAGAGTACCTTAAACGTTATTCTAAAGCAACAAATTGGTGTTACAATCACTGCAATAAAACTGATACACAAAGTGGTATTAGTCAAATAAACAAAGCAATATGGATAAATAAAGAATGAATTTTATATACACTGACTGTATATACATTATCACGGTTGAATATACAACACATATGCAAAATTTGAGTTTTAAATTCAAATTCCGATTATGTGTCATGCATCTAATGGTGGAAGAGTATGTACAGAAGATTAATCTATAAATAAAATTTGCCAACAATGTTACAACTAAACCATAGCAAGAGCAACCTTGGAAGGACGTTCTGAACAATGGTTGTTGGAGGTTGTTTTCTTTAAGGTCCATGTTTCACGTTTAGGATCTGGTTGTTGGGAGTAGGACCAAAGAATCAAATGTTTTAGAAGCCACTATACTAGGATTCTGGTGCATGAGGCTTATAAAATATAACACTAGGGTAAACATAATGGCAGTTGCATCCAGGACAGACTAGATAAGTAAATCTGCTCAATATCTTGATAAACAAACTATAAACTTTGCCTTATATTAAACATAATGTGCAGTTCGATATCGATTTGTGTCAACAATTTGCTGTCATAATGTTTGCTTTGAGCGGTGTAAAGGGAATCATGACAGTTTAAACAAATACAAACTATTACAATTGTTATGTCAATGAAAAACTAAATAGTAGTAGCTGTATATTCTCTGGTGTCTTCTCTACCGCGCTGCAACATGCAATCCAGCATTTAAGAAAAAGGGTTTCAATTAAGGGGAAAGTTTTGTCATGGAAGTGGTAATTTTTTCTGATAAACTCTTAAGTTCTACAAGTGAAGTGCTATCTTCGCTGAAAGGGGAGTAAAATCTTTGATTCACGTGTACAATCAAGTGGTAAATTAAGTACGTTTTTTCCTTAACATCAAAATCACCAAAATGTTTTTGCATAGCAGTGAAAGGAGTAAGTATTGCAAATGGTATTAAGAGAAGGTTCTATAAGTGAAATGGTAAGTTCGAGTAGTGAAAAGTTAAAACTTACCACTACGCTTGCTAATCAAGAACTTTACACTGATTATTATCATGGCAGTTAGTTGTCAGAATAATCCTATGGTGCAATTCATGGTTCAGATGTACTGATCAATTCGAATATGGATGGATAGGTTTGATTGCGAGACAAAACTATCAAAGAATGATAAAATTTGTTGTCTCTTTGAACGTTGTTGACTCGGCGTATACATTTGTTTGGTTGGAGTGTACAATAATTATGCTGGTGCATATATGTATACCCTACAATTGAAACTGGCAATTACCGGTACAAAAGCTCCTTGTCCAAATTTGATGCTCCCATTTTCCTTCTATATATATCTGAAACCACCAAGAACAATTAAGAAGTATTAGGCATCAGAAACACAATAAGCATCATGAGCCTCAAGGATTCTTCTCTGCTAGAGATACTTTCTGAAAGATTGATTAAACCATTTTCTCCCACCCCTCCTTCGTTAAGATCCTACAAGCTGTCTCGCAAAGACCAGATGGTGCATACTAGATATGTTCCCTGGGCTTTCTTTTATCCTGCGGACAATAATCCTGAGGGAAAGGACAGATCTTCATTAACTGAAACTGAAACATTTGAGCTGCTTCAAACTTCGCTATCTAAGACTCTGGCATACTATTATCCCTTTGCTGGAAGGCTAAAAAATAATAGTTTTGTTGATTGCAATGACATGGGAGTTCAGCTTACTGAAGCTCGAATCAAGTGTTCAATGCTTGAAATTCTCAAACAAGAGAACTCTCATTTGAAAGATCTTGTTTTTCCTAGACTTTTCTTCACTGATGTCATTCCTACTGAATGTAGTCTATTGATCGTTCAGGTTAGCTTTTTCAACTGTGGAGGCGTGGCAGTAGCCCTGTGCGCGTCCCACAAGGTCATGGATGCATCAACCACGTGCAATTTCATGAATGATTGGTCTTCCATGGCTCGTACACTGAATGATCATGTTCCAACTCCTCTGTTCAATGGTGCTTCTCTATTCCCACCTATTGAGGATAGTAAGTGCTCATCCAACAATGAGCTGAAAGCTCCAAAACCACCAGAAAGCTGCATCACAAGGAGATTCTTGTTCCAGTCAGCCAAAATAGATGAACTCAAGAATATCGCAGTCAATTCATCAGGGGTTTGTAATCCTACTCGATATGAAGTTGTGACTGCACTACTTTTCAGGTGTGCTGTGGCTGCAGCAAAAGCAAATTCGGGTTCTTTCCAGCCATCCATGCTGTCTAACACTGTCAACTTGCGACGCTTAACTGTTCCTCCATTACCAAAAGATTTTTTTTTTTTTTTCAACAGCCTGAATCAGACTTTTTGTTGTTTTATAAACCTAATCCCAGAATTAACCTCAAAAGCCGGCAACTCTTGAGGCAATCCCAGGGACTTATATCCCAACCCAAACCCAACCCCAACCCCGATGTGGGACAAATGTACCTATAGGGGGGACCTGCTGCTAAGTGGGATACTACCACCCAATACCCTTTCAACCCTGAGGCAATTTGTCATTACCAAAAGATTCAGTTGGCAACTTTTTAACATCTTTTCCAGTCTCAGCCACAATAGAAAGCCACATGAAACTCTCAGACTTGGTTCATCAGATAAGAAACAAAAAACTGAAGCTCCACGAGGAGTACAACAAAGGAAATGATGGGGCAAAGGATGCTATCCCCTCTTCTCAATGTGCTAAGGCGGATCATGAAGTTGCAAGTGAGAGATTTGATCAATTTTACCTCTGCAGCAGCTCGTGTGGATTTCCATTCTACGATGTTGATTTTGGATCTGGGAAGCCTGTGATGGTGTGTGATACCAATCAAACTGGTGCCAAGAATCGTTTCTTTTTGAGGGATATAAGGGATGGGGATGCAGTTGAAGCCGTTGTTACTCTAGATCCAACAGACATGTACTTCTTCCAAGGCAATGAAGAGCTGCTTGCATTTGCTTCTTTAAATTCATAACATGCTATTGCTGGTACGGGGCCTGAATCCTGTGTCCTACAATTATTCCCATTCCAGACTACTTGTTATTCCTGTTTTATGGGCTTTTGTAATTTCTTTATCTTTTTCCTGTGCACTTTGCTTTGTTCTCGCATCCCATTCCCAGTAATGTAATGCAACAAGGGTTAATGCAAAGCCTACACCCTGCAAGTTTTAGGTGTCAACCATTTGCATCTTAATCTTCTATTGGTAACAATTTAGTACCTAGTCTTTGATATTCTATCACTTTGATCCGATTAATATTTGACTTGCACCATTAGCTGTGATCTAAATTTGCACCATTAAACTTCATTTCTTGATCATCACTGAGACAGAGACGTACGCCCTCGCACCGGTGCCCGCCCCATTAACACCCTGCAAAACAGATTAGGGATGCTGATACGGCTGCAAACCAGTCAGATTTCTAAGCACTTCTTTTGACTTTCACTGTTTCAATGTTGAAATATACAAATGGGGAATAGAAAACTATTCGGTTTCATGGGGGGTGAGACCTAAAGGCATGCATGCCATTTTCTGGGTCTTAACCTGGCTCAAATTTTATGAGGTCAAAATTTTGAGAAGGTCAAATTTTAATTTCCATGTCTTGGCTGTTGTCTTTTTGTTTGGTTTATAGATGTCAATTGCGGTAAATATTCCTCCAGAAATTTGCTTAGTATGCCAGCAGGTTTCTTACTCCAAATTCGTTGGCAAAATAACAAAACACGTAGCTCATACTATATGCGATCCTTAGTAAATACAACACTATATTTGAATATTATGATACTACTGATCAAGTTTTGGTCTTGTAGTTAGCATTGAAATCACAAAATGAAGTTTTGGTCTAATGGTTAATATTGAAACCTTGAGCTTTAAAGATTTTGAATTCAAATCCCCTTCTCTCTCTTCGTTTCTTATATCTCACCTCTTTCCTACTAGAAAAAATTAAAAAATAAATAAGTATAGTAATAGAATGTTGTAAATTCGCATGTTACGTTCAAATTTTCCTCAAAAGTATGATTATGAATTTGGCCAAAAAGTATAACTTTGGCAAAATTACAAACAAAGAATCGTATGTGGATAATGTAAACACGTTTGATATTATAGAACTTTAGGTATGGGGTTGTTTACTAGAGTTTGGAGATTTTAAGTTATATTAAGATTAGTTTTAACTCCTATCTTGTGTTGAAGATATTAGATTAATTATAATTTCATCAGAATACTGACATTTTATGTGTAAGATGAAAAAGTAAGATGTGAATTTTTGTAATTTTATACATAACTAAGATCCATGTTTATTTTGAGAGAAATTTTAAAATTTTGTCACCAAAATTGAAATAATTCTCAAGGAAATGTTAATTGTACTCGTTATTCACACTCTATGGCATCTATCTTATGAAAAGATTATAAACCCTTATCCTATTTTCTTGTCATGCTCATAGATTGAATTTATAATACAAGCAAAAGGCCAAAATAGTCCCTAAATTGTTTATCAAAGCGGAAATACTCCCTAAACTTTAATCGTGACCAATTTGGTTTCTCAATGATAGATGCCTAGTCAATCTAGCCCTTTCCAGGCTGAGTCACCAGTGACATAAAAGTCAACCGGGGGACAAAGGGACAAAAAACGAAGCCTTCATTAGCAATAATTTCTTAAATCTTGGTCAGCCATTGGATCAAAAAGTAATGGAATTATATGCTATAATATTTACATGCTGCTCTAATTTTTTGATGGAAGAGAAATAGTTACTGCAAAAGGAAAAATTTATTTGGTTGGTGGTTTATTAGCAAAAATTTATTCGTTTGTATTATTAGCATATTTTTTAGCTATTTTTTTATTTTACATATATTATATTAAAAAAATGTTACAATATTTTTTACAAAATACTATTCCAAATAATTTACTGTGCAAACACACCATTTCGTCCAAATACAAGCAATGGTTGCTGTTTGCCGGTCAACTGATCACGGCTCACCTACTCTTGAATCTTGTTGGAGCATGAATGCCCTAACATGTCAACAATTTGTAAGGCAAGCTCTTCAAATCTTTCTGCCAGTGATCTTTCTGTCGGCACCTGTGGCACAGAGCTTATTTGCAATTTGCATTACCTGCGCGCCAGTAGAGCCAAGACCATAAAATTACCTGACACAACCCATGATGGGGTTTGGTATTTTCAACTGTATCCTACATGCAAAGGGACCTCCAATTTGCCCAGCTGTTCAAGTTTAATTTGACAGAATGATAAGACTTTTCCTTCAGTACTCTATTTTTCTGTCGTTCATGTTCAAGTTTAATTTGACAGAATGATAAGATTTTTTGTGAAAACCCTAGAAAATTTTTGTGTAAGTCTTACATGTATTATTTTCATTTTGCTATTAGAAATAATAATTGATCGATTAAATATCAAAATTTAAATTTTACAACAAAATCGAGAAATTATAAATACTTTGGAATGGTGTAAAAATATATATAACCAAAGTTAGGAGTTAATGTGTAAACTAACAAAACTATAGCTCCTTAGTAAGCAATTAAATTGATACCAAATGACCTAACTAACCTTGAGTCTTGACTAAACCACCATGCGGCCAACAAACTATCAGAATGGTAGCAATAAAACTGAGTGGAGAGCAATAAACCTTGAGTCTTGACTATTAGAATTGTTCCCACCGACTGGAGAGGAAGTGAGTGATCAGTTCTTTGGAGTTATCGACTGGGAGAGTGAGTGAGATAGCTCTCCATTTTTCCTTAGGCAGCAACAGCCGAGAGAGGAAAAAAAAAAAAGAGCAACTGAACCGCTTTTCCATTTCTGCACTTTTTAACCAACCAAAGCCGAGAGCTAAGAGGAGAAACCAGGCTGCAACTTCGAGTATCAGCTACATCAGTGGGGAGAAGGATAGCGGTGCAAGAGTGGGAGGAACCAGAGCAGAGAGAAGAGAGTAATATGTAATTATCGAGCTTCAGGAGGAAAAAGGTAAGAAACTCCAACAATCTCTTGTTTATTTATCTGGTATAAATGAATATGTAAGCTGCATGTTAGGTTCTAGCAAAGAAAATGAGTTCTTGACCGAGGGAAACTCTGTTTAGTAACTGACTAAGTGCTAGAAAAGAAAACTGAAATCACCGAGAAGATGAACCGGAATTGCAGCTTGTTAACCGAGTTTTCTGTGGAGAATAATGTTAGGAAATGCATGTAAAATGTTTACTCTAAGTATTATGAGAAGATTAGCTGAACAGGTTTGTGAAATCTGGAAATTTGGATGTGTAAAGGTTGATTAGAACCTGCAGGAATTTTTCAGTCTCATCCGAGAGGGGGAAATGCTGAGGTTTCTAGCTGTCTCCTTGAATTTTTATGCTAAGCTGTAATATATATTGCATTAAAGCTTGGTCTGAACATGCATGAAAGATTTGAACATAAACGGAAGAGTTTATTGGAGAAGAGTTGTGTCAAACTGATTGCTGCACAAATCAGTCACAGCTTGACCGAGAGAGAGAAGTAGACTTCAGATTGCTTGTGCGTAGCTTTTGGGTTGAATAATTCTTGAAACTAGATGCTATTTGCCTTGGTATATGCTGGACTGAATGTACCTTAAGTATTTAGAGCTTTAAGCAAGTGAAAGAATAGAGTTTTGACAAAAGTTGAAGTAACGTTGCTGGATTAATTTTGTGGTTGCTGTCCGAGAGAGTGAAGCAGGATGTGTTTCTGTCCGGCCGTTTCTGACCTTGAATATATGAGAACTGGGTGTTGATGTCTTCATAAGAAATGTAGATCTATATTTGAGCTTCGAAACGCTATAAGGTTTGGTTTGCCTCAATCCGATAAACGTAGCTCTAGTTATGATTGAAATACTAGAGGATGGCAAAGCTGCCTTCCTCGTTGCCTTTCCTTTTGTTTCGCATGCATGCAGCTTTGATAATGGCCGCGAGGAAACCAACTTTTAACTAACATTTCTTCTAATTTCCAATCTTGTAAGCTTTCATAAATGATAGCTATGATTGTTCTGAGATTTAATGGCTATATCTAGTTCGACGAGTAGAGTTAAACTAAGGTGATTGAGTGAAAAGTCACGATAGTTATATGCGTAAAGTGACTTCTAATTATTTAATATTGTTTGCACAAATATTTTAAAGACTATTAATCTGAGGGGTTGGTATAGTGGAATAAAACTTAATTTCCAAATAACTTAGAGTCTAATTAATTAAAAGGGAACCCATGGAAAACTTCTAAGCCTTATTTTTGGAATCTTGAGTGGAAAATGATTTAATCCTAAAATAAATATCTTATAAATTATTAACTTGGGAAAACCGGTATAATTCTTGATTAAAACAATAAATTCAATAAGTTTCAAAATAAAATGATAAATGAATATTGAATATGTTATATTTTGTACTTTAAAGTTAAACTTGATTTTTAATAGTTCATGTGATAAAGTAAGAACAATAAGTGAACATCTACAAACTATGTATTTGATTTGGAATTATTAACTTGTCCAGGAAGTAGCTGTGAACCGGAAAACCGACTCGAGACTCGAGAGTAATTTATTTGGATATTTAGTGAGTGTTTTTCGAATTTATGTGTTAAACTACTTATGTGTACCTAAGTGCAATTATATGGCAAATGTGCTTATTATGAAATATTGCTAAGTGATTCTTTGTAAAGTATTTTCAATTGTCCCTCGCCTTCTAAGTCGAGGGTGTACTTTATCGCACTCGCCTTAGTTGAGCTTGAAGGTTGATAATTGATCAAGTGATATTGTAAGTGTGCATGACTGTAAACCGTATGTGTACTTTATCACACTGGCTGAACTGAGTCCCAAAACCCTCTGTTCAACGGACTATTCGAGCCAGCAAAGGGCTTGATCGGATAGGACAGTAGCTTTGGGTAAGTGATTCGGTATACTCGAGTATTACCACAGATTACTGATACTGATATGACCATCTAAGTGAGGGAAGTGTTTACTGTTTTGGAGGTTATAGGAGTTTGGCG